TTTACTCATTTATTCAATGACAGTCATGTCATCATCTTCTGGAACATCATCATAACAATTAAACCCTTATTTTCAGGGAGGGCTTACTTTCTGGGGGATGCCTTATATTTCAGCGAGAGGCAAACCTGTAAGTAGGTCTTATTTTCGGGGAATGTCTTACTTTCAGGGAAACAGGGTAGTACTCCCAGCCACTGTAGTATGAGCTATTTGGAAGTTGGTCCATTTTTCACAAAGTAAGGAAACTTTTTTTTTTTTAAGCCTTTGATGGTTAAAAAACAAAAACACAACACCTGGATTAACTACGTAGATGTAAGGAGCCTAGGTGTGCTGGCAGGTTTTCGATAGGCTGCTTCAACAGAAAATTGGCAGTTCAAAACCATCCGATGGCTCCCTGGATGAAAAGATATGGTGATCTACTTCCATAAAGATCACAGCCCAGAAAACCCCATGGAGTGGTCTCTCTGTCACACGTGGGTCCCCAACATCAGTTGAACCCCACAGCAGCTAGCAGTCACAGTGAGAGAGTGAAACTAATGACTGCTCATGATTAACATGCTAATTAATAGTCACTGCCCTGAAAAGGTCTCCACATGACTTTTTACTCATTTATATAGAATGCATATGCAGATATGTGTTCTTTTATATATATCAGATCATAAGGAACTATATGTGACCTCCTGCCTGGGGGACGGACAACAGAAAAGTGGGTGAAGGGAGACTTCGGACAGGGAAAGCTATGACAAAGTAATAATTTATAAATTATCAAGGGCTCATGAGGGAGGTAGGAGGGGGGAGGGAGGGCAAAAATGAGGGGAAAAACTTGGAAATTGTAGAACAGCAAACAGGCAAAGAGCAGTTCATTTATGGGTGATCACTGCCAATACCCTCACGGATATCTTTGCTGTTCTGTACACATTAGAATAATCACTGAAGAGTGTGAGTTTATTGATGTATTATGCATATTGTTTTGTACCTTTTCAAAGGCTACCTGGTATTCTTTGTCATTGTTTTTGTTTTTGACAATCATTTTATGGGGGCTCTTACAGCTCTTATCACAATCCCTCCATTCATTGTGTCCAGCACATTTGTACTTATGCTGCCATCATGCTTTTCAGAACATTTTCCTTCTATTGCGCCCTTGGTTTCAGCTCCTCATTTTTCCCCTCCCACTCCCCCACCCTCATGAACCCTTAATAAGTCATAAATTATTATTTTCATAACTCACACTGCCTACTGTCTCCCTTCACCTGTGTTTCTGTTGTTCATTACCCTGGGGGTGGGGTGGGGTGTTACACCTCCATCATTGCCATCAGTTCTGCCTTTCCTCCCCCTTCTTCCCCCTACCCTCATGGTATCCCTACTCCCATTATTGATCCTGAGAGATTTTTCTGTCCTTGATTCCATGTGCTGAGAACGCTGATCTGTGCCAGTGGATGTGCTCAGGTCTAGCGGGATCTCTAAGGTAGAACTGGGGTCATGATAGTGGGGTGGGGGGGAGCACTAAAGAACTACAGGACGGTTGTATGTTTCATCGGTGCTATACTGCACTCTGGTTACCTTGTCCCTTCCTTGTGACCTTCTGTGAGGAGATGTCCAATTCTTTACAGATGGGCTTTGGGTCTCCACTCTGCCCCCCTCGTTCACATTGATATGATTGTTTGTTTTGGGTCTTCTGGTGCCTGATGCCTGATCCTGTGGATACCTCATGTTCACACAGGCTGCTGTGCTTCTTCCATGTGGGCTTTGTTGCTTCCTAGCTACATGGCCACTTGCTTATCTTCAAGCCTTTAAGACCCCAGTCACGATACCTTTTTTTGTTTGCTTGGTACTATATCTTTTAATAGCCAGGCACGTTGTTGTTTTTAAGTCAGAAGTAATTGCAGGACCATATTGCAAATATAAAGTCTTGAGTTTTAGACTCATCAGGCAGCAGACTAGTCTCATAGTTCAATTTCTGATATCTATATACCTTTGGTCCATGTATATAGATTTAAAAATTCAAAGATAGAAAATGTCGGCTGTCATCTGTAGGAAGGCAGACTACCAAAGCTTTCTCCCGGAAGCAGCTGATAAGTTGGTAACCAAGTGCTTCCTTGCCGAGCCACCAGGGCGCCGTGCATGCTTCCAACAATTACTAGCTGTTACTTCATTCTGTCCCTAGATCTCTGTAATCTTTGGGAAAAGTTCCAGGGATCAACTTGTTTGCTTATTGTAGAAGTAAAAGAGCTGGGGGAAATTGTTTCTTGATGTGATTCCTGATCACTGTTTTGAAGGTGTGAACTGAATACAAACTGGGAAGCAATTTTCCTAGGACTGGATATCGATCGGGACCAGTTGGTCCACACTCCCCCCTATCGAAAGAGCTCTCCCTATGCCTATCAACTATATAAGTGATATAGTCTTAACATTGAGATTCAAGAAGAATTTAACACTATTCAGATTACCAAGCCCTTGGCTCTTTAT